ATGCGCCTTTGAAAGGCAACACTCCTAAAACGTTACAAGCCTCATTTGGCAAAACAAGTTTCAATCCACTTAGCACGTTTGCATCCAGTCTGGATTACCTTTTTCTTTGTGGTTCCACCACCCAAAAACAACTTAGGGAATATAGGACAACTCTGCCAAGAGGACATAGGGTACTTAAGGCAACACCGCTAGGTAAGTTGTAAGTTTGCCACGTTAGGTGGCAAACTTACTGCTAAGTTGTTGTATGTTACTGTATGTCAGCGACAAAAGATAACAAATATCTATGTACATGGCTCATTTTGCTTGTACATAGCATGTGCACTGAGTTCGCCAATGTACATGGCAAACTTGTTACCAACTTGCACGTCAGCCAACATCATGTTGCAGGACTTGTAAGCACAACCTGCTGCACTTGTAAGTTCACCCATAAGTAGCCCATGAGCGGCAACAAGTTGCAACAACACCCGGTCATCCAAGTAAGCGCCTCCATGTTGCGGCAGTGTTTCACACTGCTGAGATGTTCACCAGTGATCTCTGGCAAGTTGCCGTTTTTCGTTCGCGGGCAAATGCTGCAGCAGTTGCCTTGTTGCCACAGATGCGGCGCAAGCATCCGTCGCCTGCCTGGCGGGATTGGCCAAGGGGCAGGCATTGCTTGCTGGTTGACAGCCGCACCTTGTGGAGGAGGTTGAAGAGCCTCGCCGACAGCCGGCCCTGCGGGGTGGTCTTTGTAGCGTGGTGCCACGATGCCTGTGCCACTGGGGCCTCCCAAGGTCTTGGCAGCCATTGGCTTTGCCAATGGTGACCTGGACCGAGGAACTTGCGCGCTCGTGGACGCTGTCTGGCTATCCTCGAAAGCCTTTGAATCTGAAGCTTCAGCTGCTTTGCTGACGAGGCACTGTGCACCCTGGCTGGCAGCCGCACCCTGGCTGGCAGTCGCATCGTGGCTGGCAGCCGGAACAGAAGGAGAGCTCCTTCTAGTGGCTAAAACCACCTTGTGCTCTTGGAGCTTCACTTTTGCCCAAGAGTAAGCTTCGTGCAGGCTTCTCTCTTTCATCAACATATTGGTAGCTGTCCAGCCTTGCCAGATTTGCCGCATGCCTGCCAGCTGCCTCAAGGCATCATCGACGGATTCAGCGCCGCCATGGATTCCAAGGAGCAGGGCCATCACCAAAGGTGATCTGTGCACACCCTGGTTGCAGTGCACGACTATCGGAAAGCGGTTCTCCACTGCCCATGCCACAGCCTCAAGCACTGTTGCCCACTGGTGAGCCCTTGTAGTACCGCCGGCATAGGTGCAAGGTAATGTAATCTTCCTCCAATTTGGCAAAGGAGGGTAGTTGTAGCCCTTTGTGTCTTGGCCGACCGTCGCAATCAGGACACCGCCATCCGATTGGTACGGGCTCCAAGCGCTGTCCTCCACAGCTTCCCGGCCGCAAAGAAACCACGTAGTGCCAGCGCACATCAGCATCGTGGGTTCCTCAGCCATGTCTGCAGCAGCTGGCTGGCAGCCGGATGCTGGCAGGCCCTGGCAGCAAGGCAGCAGCAATGCCAAGGGCTGACTGTCGTTGTAGGGGTCTTTTAGCTAGTAGAGTGTGGTTGGTGAATGGTGATGGTCCTATGAATGGTGATGGTCCTATCATAAACACATTTAAAAAATATATATAGGTAGATACATATGACTATTTCACCTATGCCTATGTCATTTACCATTTCATATCATATCATAGTTCCTAAGTTATGAGCTATGAGTCCTATAAGTCAATAATGACATTGATATATTTTTTATATATACGATATAGTTATAATATATATTATATATATGTGTGTGTTTTTCAGTTGCGTAGCTGGGGGCTCAGAGCCAAAGCTGCGGAGGTCGCTGAGGTCCGTCTTGTTCTGACCGTGGCAGGCTGCGTGAAAAAAAAAGAAAACTTCAAATCGCTGGCTTGCCTCGCTTTTTGGCATGACCACAACCCCCAAGGTCAGGTTCCAAACCTGGCTGGCAGCCGCACATTTAGCTAAAGTTTTGTGATTTTCCCCCTCTCACTCATGGCGCTTTGGAAA